ATAACGCCCATTCAATCGAGTGATAACATTTGAAGCGGATGTGTACTCCTAACATTGTAGAAACTAAACATACCCAAAAGTATAGCAATATCTGGTAACCTTGTGGGGACATTTTTTTTGTTCCCCATGAGGAAAATGGCTCAAAAATGAAAAAGAAAGAAGTAAAAATGCAGATTGTTTCCTAAGGGTTGGGTTTTAGGGGTAATAGTCAGGGAATATTCCCATAAAGATAGCCATACAAGTGTGCGTGTGTTGCATTTTACTTGTTTCTCTTAGAAAAAATGAATGTGTGATAAAGCTGAAATGTCTTGCTTGCTAGGAAATATATAAAATGTAAATTACAGTGCTTCAAGGCATAAGAGGTCTTTCTGAACAAGCAAGTGTCAGGTTCACCTTAAGCTTGAACAAGTAAAGAGTCAGGGTCACTTTAAACTTGCAGTTATGTAGAAAACATCTCTGCCCACATATAGTTTGTTTCTCTCTATACTTGTATAATAATGAAATAAATTTAAGTGTCTTTGGAATTATACGGATTTAAGCCACATCTACAGTATTAACATCATAGATACAATATTATATACAATATTATTTCCATATTTCCATGGCGGCGCAGTAGGTAGTGCTGTCGCCTCACAGCAAGAAGGTCGCTGGGTCGCTAGTTCGAACCTCGGCTCAGTTGCCGTTTCTGTATGGAGTTTGCATGTTCTCCCTGCGTTCGCGTGGGTTTCCTCCGGGTGCTCCAGTTTCCCCTCACAGTCCAAAGACATGCGGTACAGGTGAATTGGGTAGGCTAAATTGTCCGTAGTGTATGAGTGTGTGTATGTGTGGATGTTTCCCAGAGATGGGTTGCGGCTGGAAGGGCATCCGCTGTGTAAAAACAAGCTGGATAAGTTGGCGGTTCATTCCGCTGTGGCGACCCCAGATTAATAAAGGGACTAAGCCGACAAGAAAATGAATGAATGAATGTTATTTCCACTGAATATCAAACAAGTGTGTTAGTTTCAGAACTGATTCATTTATTTCCAGCATTGAAAATTATAACTAACAGACTGTAATTAACAATGCTTTGAGCAGAAGGTGAGCTGTTTAAAATCAACCCTGCATGGTTTTAAAAACCTATTTTGACCCGCCGATTAATACACATCATCATCATTTCCCCACTCAACTGTCCTGAAGCTGTAGGACTCAAGAGAATTACATAACGCTGAAGCCTTTACCAGGCTGAATCCCCACAATGTTTTAAAGTGTATGTGAAGGGGCAGACGAAAACGGCCACTTTTGTGCACCCACCTGACACTGAAGCATAGATTACACTCATCAATCTGTTCCAAGCTGTCTGACACAGCCGCTCTATCAGTTTCACATCACAGGTTTACGTTATTGCAGGTTTACTGTGTATACCACAAATTGGTTGGTGTTAATGTACTGTATAAGCGTGTAGATGCGGTAAATGAGGCATGTTTACAAACCTTCCAGTTCAACAAAGTCTGACCATTCTGTGAATAATAGCATTATAAAGGCAGTTTTTGTGTAAAGTGGAGAGTTGTTCATATTCTCAGAGGCTCCTTGCTCTTTTAGTAAATCCATTTTATTAAGACATGTACAGATTTAAAGTAAAATAACCAATGCAACAGGGTTTTTGGAACAAATGCTGTAGATTTCTGCTGATGTGAATAGATATTTATTAAGACACTGTGAAAATGGAGCTTAATTTGGTTGAAATATGTTACATAAAAATGAACATCCTACTATTTCCATCTACAAAACTATTCTGTGCTGTTTTATACTGTAATATGTGAGTGTACCTTCATTTCAGGGGAAGCGTGCAGTTTCTCTGTGCAAGCCCTGCTGATAGAATATTCATCAATATAAAATCTTACTCATTAGTTAAGACTATTAATTACGTCCTAATGAACATGTCTGTAATGAAGTGCAGAAAAATTACATGGTAATCTGTGTTTAGTGTCTGGCAGAGGCATACAGAGAAGAAAATGACACCTAATCGGGAGTTTGGTTGCTCTCGTTCATGCTTGTTAGACATGAATTGATTGCTGTGGGTCTAATCAAGGAAAGAGAGTTTTGCCTGTGGAGTGTTTTTAATGCTTTTAATGATTAGATGTTGGGTGGACATCAGCTTGGCACTGCTTCATGGATTAGGATGATTTCAGCGCTCTGAGAAATGTTGGGGAGAGGAAATGTAGTTTGGTTAAATTTATTGACTTAGTCTTTTTTTGTCTACTTGTGATCTCATAAAACAGATACGATTTTAAGGTTTGGAATGAATTGCATTTTGGTTATTTATTGCTTTATGACTGCTTTATGTTTAACCACTTATATATTTGTATACTAATATCAAAAGTTGACTTTAAACATGTGTAGAAACACACTTCACTGTTATGTTGTTGTTTTTTCAAACATGCTAAAGCTTCACTTTAGTCTTTAATGCCTGAATGGCATTTCACCTCGTGCAAGTGATCATGTGCTCTCATCTCACAAGAATGTGGCGCAGTGAGATCCATCATACTACAGTTGTGTAATTCCTTTCTTGATGAAAACATGCCAGCTGTGCTTGCCTAGCACCCAACCATGAATATCTTTGTTTCCTTCTCATCTCTTCAGTTGGTATTTATGTCTTGGTCTGTGATTCCTTCTTCCTTTATAAGGATTTTATAATGAAGATTAGTACGGCTGGACGGACTGATGTATGATTACTTACAGCAGATGACGAATTACATAAGAAATAATTGTGAGTTGAGATGATGTTAGATAAGACGTGACGGTGAGAGAAAGACAAGGATGTCTATGAATGATTTTCTTGGGGTTGATTTAGTTGCCCTGCTTATTTCTAGAAGACTGGCATACAGTATTGTTGAGTGTATCGGTATGGTTTTAGCTGGGATTTGTAAATTTGTAATTATAGATGGTAATGATAATGAATGACCAACACATTTATTTAAATTGTAATATTTCACAGTATTGCATAAAATCCAAATGAATGAATTTAAAGATGTTTCACTCAAAATGTACAAAACAAATTCTGTTTTTCTTAAACATTTTTTTTTTCTGGGAAAATATAGTGCAATGCTTCACATTGAGTGAGTGGGCCTGATAAACCATCTGTAGGATACATCTCAAACACTCAGTAACAAGGATTGAATAATCAAATAATAAAACATAAAATGAAACCCATTTACACTTGACATGGAATCTATATATTGCTGTTTTCTGGTGATTTGAAGTGCTTCTTCTATCCTGAATGTTCTTTTATCCTATGAAAGTTGCTGTGGGTAAAAGCATCTGCTTAATGAATAAATGCAAATGTAAATGCTTGGGAATATATATTTAAATTTCAGATGAAGAATAAAAAAAAAAGTTTAAACCAAAGAATTTACTGACAAATAATCAAAATCAAATTTCTTAATTAGACTATTTTGCCTTTATTAATGTTGCTTAATATGTTCTTTTTACTAGTAGGCTTATGTCGAAAATTATATTAAATGTATATTTCTGATAATCACCAGTGATCGAGTGTTTGCGTGTCGCTGGAGAACTACACATATGCCACTTAAATGAACTACAACTTTCATCATGCACCTCACACACACCAGTTCCTGAATCCCCCTGATTACACACATACAGCTGGAAGTTCATGATGGACTGATTACCGGGACTATACACAGCACACACACAGATCTTTGCTGAGTCTTGTGATCTGAGTGAGCACTACTGAAGCGTTTTCCTTGTCTTGATGTGTTTTTGACATTTGCTTTGTTTTGCTGTTTACGTTGTTTTGCTGCCTGTCCCAAACATTCATCTGTATTTTGATCACGCTTTTAGATTGTCTGTACGCTCCTGTCTGTCCCTGTTTTGACCTTTGCCTGCTTGACAGTTTTCTTAATAAACTGCACATGGATCCTACTCTTTACAAAAGTTATATAGATAATGTAAAAACATTTTTAGATAAAGCTTATTTCGGAAGACCTTTAAGTCACAGTTTTCTGTACAGCAATATGAAGATTAAAACAGCCTGTCTTTGTCCTCATTTTATTTTACTGGGAATCTGCTGTCACTGTTGTCAACTGGAGCACAGGATGGGATTTGGGATATTTCCAAGAAATTTAGAATATAGTCAACTTTATTTAAGAACATAAACAACTTTACTCCAATTCTGTAAAACCTAGCATTTTTCTCCATAGCCGTCACAGTGTTTGTATTGCACAGCACTTTATTGCTAGTGGATAGCTTGTACGTTTACTTTCCTACATTCTGTGTCCTGGTGTACTCTACCCCTTACTATGTCTCTTTATATGCTGCCCTATTATTGTCAAAGTCTGAAGAATGAACAGAAAAAAAACTACTTTTGTGGCCAAATGTTCTCGAAGCAAATTCGTCAAGTCGAGATGGAGAGAGATTTTACTGTGAATAGACCAGCAAAGCTCTTTTGCGAATAGGAAGAGGACTCTTCAATGAGGAGTTTCAGCAGAAATGAATAGATTTTAAAGGGCAACTCTTAATGTTGGATTAGGTGAGTCAGGCTGTGGGTAGATCTCCACATTCTCCCGCAATCCTGTGCTCACCAGCAACAAAAGAATGGCAAATCCCAGCTGGCACAATGCCCTCCCAGTCCTGCTAATAAGTGTTCTGAAGGGAGGGGGCATTAGAGCTCTGGCTCACTTTTTCTCCCTCTATTCATCTCTCTTGTTATCTCCACATGCACTGCATCATCCTGTCCATAATCATTAACAATAGACAGATCCTTTATTGTAATATGGAGTTGACACTTACAAGCAGCTATCTGCTTTCTTAAACATGATTTATCATTAAACTTCATTACATTTCTCATTTTTGGTGGTGATCAACATTTGGTTAAAAGGAATATATAACAATTTTAACAGTACTTACTTTTAAAAAGTGACTTTATATTGTAATAATTTACCTTTTCCCCAATTAGTATAACTGCTGCTGTGGTGTTGACAAAATCTGTGTTGTTTCTGTTGCAGTCCATCATGGAGCAGTTCAACCCTTGCTTAAGGAACTTTGTTGCCATGGGGAAGACTTATGAGAAGGCCCTTTCCAGTGAGTACATCAGCGGCTTGTTCATTACCACTCTTGCAGGCAATGAGCCAGCTATTCAAGCTTTTTTTTCATTGGTCTGCTTTTATTTTTGAGAATAAGTTGCTTGAAATTCATGCTTCAATGGGGCTCTGCTCCTTGACATTCCTTGGTTGCATACACCTTCACGACCAGCATCTGGGATTTTTTTTTCTGATATACAAACTCAAGTTCTTGCATAGAAATAGCAGATTGTTGTTTAAATGTTTGTTGAATGTTTGTTAAGAATTTATGTTTTTATGTTTGTGGGGCAGGATACTTCCTGCTTCTTTGTAGTCATAGAATGTTTAACGTCTAAATCCATCTGCACCCTGAAACCCTTGAGCATCCATCCGGTTCATGCATGTTGCATCTCCAGAGCTGTCACATCCATGTAACCAATGAAACTCGATGTATTATTCCTGTTATGTGTGCGGAACTCCATGTGTGTTTTCGAGATTTTGACTGGGCAAGGACAAAGATGTAGGCGTTTTTTTGGAGCAAAAAATATGCACTGGGAGTATGGGAGAGTAAATTGGAACAGAGGACATGCATAAATAGGCCAGAGAGAGCTCTGGGAGCAGACACAGTCCCATAGAGGGAGCGAAAAGGGAACAGGGAAGATGTATATTCAGGACAAGAATGGTACGTGGAAAGAATATGGCGAACATACCAAGGTAGCACAGGTACAACAATTAAATGCCATTTTTTTTTCATAGTGCTTCATCTGAGAGTAAAAATGTACTAACATGGTCTTATGTGAACTTCTAACTCGTAAAATGTTGGGGTGGGTGATACTAACTTGGCACAATGACATAGAAATTATATTAAAAGCACAACATCTAGTGTCAGTTGGTGTCGTGGCTAGTTAGACATTAACATGAATAACATGAAATAGGTAACTTTTAAATAATCTTTTTTTTTTACATCATTTTTTCTAAGTGCTAAACCTTTGAGATTTGCATTATACACTGATAAAGTTTTGCCCTAACTTCTCAGGGTATAATGTGTACCATTTTGTGCTCAATGAAGCCCCATAGACAGGGCAGAACATTTAGAATAAAACCCAGAAGAACAGGGGTCTCCAACCCTGCTCCTGGAGAGATACCATGCTACAGAGTTCAGCTCCAACCCCAATCAATCTGTTCAAGATGTTCAGGATAACTTGATAATTGCAGACTGGTATGTTAGAGAAGGTTTGTAAATGAAGTCTGCAGGAAAGGAGCAGGGTTGAAGACCTCTTTTTAAACACTGTGCCATGCTGCAGTGGACTATCATTTCACTCACCATTCCAGACTTCATCTAATATTTTATGAGGCAGATAATACAGGGAAACGACCAATGCTCTAGAGGGTATCCACAAGAGCGTGTGTATGTGTGCGAGAGTGTGAAGTCTGATAGATAAGGTTAAAAATAGACCCAACTAGAGTGAGATTTGCACTTTCATCCTTGCAGTCTTGGCTGTTGCTTTGGAGGTTTGCAGAATCCATCGTGCGGATTTGCTGCAGTTGTAAATAGGCCAGGTTTAACAGGCAGCATGGTGGAAACCCTCAAAAGTACCCACTAAAGACTAGTGCAGATGGTGGCCACTGGGCTTTTGCATGTTTTGGATTGCTTGGCTAAAGAAACCAATAGTGAAGCTAATAGATCATTTGGAGACAATAAAATGTCATAGCGCCAAAAAATTGACAAATTGGCAATAGTGGCTTGTGGTCAAGTTGATTTTGGAGATCCATCTACATGCCTTACCATTGTTGATAATGACGATGTCTTTGTGCATAAGCAGCTGTTAAGCCTAAAGTTTCTCTCTCCATTACCTAACACTCTCAGAAAAGGACTGAACGGGTTAGGATGTTAAAAAATAATTGGAAAAACCAAAGACTTTACCATTTGTATTCAATTAAGATTTCTATCTGCACTAAGCTAGAGACTATCACATACACATTGCAATGGATAACTGGATATAGATTGGGCTTTTCAACTTGGGATTGTCTCTTGTGGCTGATCAATGCTTTCTCAGAGATGGCTGGAGAGACTTTGTCCTATTTTTTCAGACCTCTGTAATCCTCTTTCCTTCTGCTGCCTCTCTCGTTTCTTTACCCCTCACCACTCAGCCTAACCGCTGGAGCACCAAAGCCCCCAGATTTCCCCCTCTAATCCCTCACAACCAGGACACACCTTATCCTGAGCCTGGGATTTGTGCGGACACTAGTAAATAAGTCTATACATTCATATGTGACTGGGCTGCCATTAGTGTCCAAACACTCCCTTTGCTTGGAATTGAGATGGCCATACATCATAATGAATTTGATGTAACTGTCAACAAGGTTGTTAGGGACAGAAGTACAGTCCTTTTAATTCAGATTCCAGAAGCAGATCCTCAAACACAAGGATGTGATTTGCAGTGTGTACTACTGCTGGACAGACAGGCTCCAGTGTTTAAATTCTGGTCTCTACAGATAAGCCAGACATTACTGTCGTTATTTTTCATGACCTGTGATCCTACAACACACTGGGTGTACTTCTATCCCTTATAAGCCTTAAGATTTGATTTTAAAAATCTGAAATCTATCAGTTGATTCTACTGCACATGCTAACCTTTGCTAACCGCTTCCTCTGTACCTTCTGGTTGTAAGTTTCACGGTGCTCCAAAACACTTTGTGCTTCTTGGCTCTCTCCAGCCTCGCTAAACTACCATGATCCTCTGGCTTCGACGAGAGCCTGATTTCAGAGCCAGTCCTCCTTAGACATGGTGACACAGAAGAGGCACAGCTGTCCTTGTGGCAGGACCTCACACAGAATAAGTGATTGCTTTCAGTAATGCGCTATCTGATGTGAATGATTTTGGAGGGTATCAAGCTTTCTTTATTTCTGCTTTATTATTTCAAAGTAATGGTACTTTTGCTATTCATTACTCACCAATCACAAGCTCCACCCCCACCCCCCCAGTTCTCTGGCCGAGCCATCATAGAACATAGAAGCTTTCCCATCCACCACTCCTGTTTTCATAGACGCAGCACCTGTGGGTTAAGGGAAGCTTCGGGTTAGCACCTAAGCACAACCCCAATTCTTATGTCCCCAATGCTTCCATGTTTCCAGGTGTGACATTTGCAGCAAAAGGCTACTTCGACGCACTGGTGCGGATGGGAGAGCTGGCCAGCGAGAGTCACGGCTCTAAGGATCTTGGTGAGTTTGTATAGATTGTAGATGCAGTGCCCCCTGTGGTTGGGAGGGGGATTGCAAAAGAGAATAAACTAAAGGTTTCAGTGTGAATGGCTTTGGGTGTGTGGGTACATAGTGCAGCATATCTAAACTGTATCTTTGGGCATATCACAAACACACACTCTGCAGATTCCTTCATTTGCTCGTTGGTGAATGGTTGCATTGTGTTCATTCTATCCTGTCATCTTATTTCCGTGTCTCTCTATGAATAACTGTTAGATTTAGGGAGTCTAGACACTATCATTTACACAAGTGTACAGTTCTTTCGCAGTAAATGTACTAATCCTGTCACTTTCTTTGCCCTTTGATGAACGGTTTGGCTGATTATGAACACGCAATCAATTTTTAATTGTTATTTGAGTAATGACATTAATGGTGACTTTTAACCAATTCATAAGGTCTGAGTAGTTTTTTTTTTCTTAGCATACACCCTTTTAGATTTCAGTTTTAGTTTTTGCACATAGCATGATATTTTTTTTATATCTGTATCATTTTGTAAATGAATACTATTTTTGCATTAGGAGAGCATCAATTATTCTCTCCTGCTCTTGAATGAAATGTACTATACAAATGATCACACAACATGTCTATGGAAATGTAATGTTTTTTCAGATGACATAAAGAGAACTTAGCCGAAGTCACAGTACAATAATGCATTCTTTCCTCACTAGTCTTGCTGCCCATTCATTATTTATACAAGTGACTGTGTTTTGTAGCTAGAAACCATAGCAACCAATGGAAAAATGGGTGCACCAGATACTTCAGAACATTTGTCTTTTACTTTTCCAGGAACAGTTGTTCTACTCTATTCTGAAACAAGCTTTTTGAACCAATACATGTGAATATCATTTCATTTAAATCAGGATGTGTTGACTGAGACTCATTACTCTGACAAGCCTTGTTGTCAATGTGTGTTTAGTAAGTCTGATAAATTGGACTTCAGAAGAATGTAAGACCTTTGACAGAATTGACTGAATCTACAGTATAATCTGGGATTCAATCTAATGTTGCTAAAATCACATCAGAGTCACAGCAGAAAATATGAGTGATTTACAGGGCTGGCTATGGCCCAGTTCCAATTCTATTTTTGTACCCATTGGCCCTTGAAACAGAGTGTGAAGGGGAAAGGCTTCAAAATGTACCCCTTAGAAATGGGACAGTACTATAACAACTGCACATGTCATCAGATGTCATCGCGATCTCTTGGTTCATATGAGATCGACAACCTTGTCTGCTGTAGTTATTCCAGTTGCATTATTTTTTGGTATTTATCTTCAGGACATCACTGAAGGCAACGATATCATGCTATCATAAAGATCTAATGTGGCAATAAGATCGTAACTGTACTGTGCATTTACACAGTGGCCTTATTCATCTATGTAAACACAAGAAAACCACATTACATTATAGCAGACACTGTAAAAAGCTCATTCTTAGCCACTAGACTTTTCTGACAGGGTATTCGAGTGTCATCGCGTATCAGAATGTTGTGGAACTGCTGTAGAGGAGTTATCATTATGGATTATAGATAGTGAAATGTAATTTTTTTTAAAGCAGTAAAACATGAAGACCGTCATGAAAGTATTGAAACATGTGCTTGTTTTTTGTAAAAAAAATTAATAATAACAAAAAATTCTAATTTGTGCATCTGTTGACTTCAGTGTGCAGCCATGTTGCTGTTGAGGCTGGTGTATTCTGGGAAATTTTCGTACCCCTTGGTTTTGAGGGTGGTCTTGAAACAAGAGATTTTTCAAGACCACACTCGAAAGGGCTAAGGAGTAGAATTGGGATTGGGGCTACATTTCCATTATTCATCTCAGAAACATTTTTTATCCTTTTTTCTGAGCATTTATCTTCACTGGTTGGCATCTCATTAACTACAAATTAAATGGACTTTAAAATCCTAGTTCTAATTTGCACTGTAAATGGCTATTATTTAAAGGAATTCAGCTTCATCTCATCCTGAGATTGTTTACCTGATTTGCAACCTTCTTTATATATCTAAACCGTATATAGCCAGTCAGAACTGGAGTCCTTATGAGATTATATTTTAGGCTGCTGGCGAGTTATATCTTGATTGCTGCTGTCTCAGCATTGTTAAAAAAAGGAGCAATATCGGTCACACTTTACAATAAGGTTCATTAGTTAATGTTAATTAATGCATTTACTAACATGAACAAACAATGAACAATACATTTACTACTGTATTTGTTAATGTTAGTTAAAATTAGTTAATGATAATACAGTAGTTTATTGTTAGTTCATGTTAACTCATGGTGCATTAACTAATGTTAACAAGCATTGACTTGGATGTTAATAATGCATAAGTAAATGTTCAATTATGATTAATTAATGCTGTACATGTGTTGTTCATGATTAGTTCATGTTAGTAAATGCATTAACTAATGAACCTTATTGTAAAGTGTTACCGCGATATCTGTATATGAAAAAAAGGTTTAATATACGCCTTTTCACTAGAGACTTTTCACCATTAGACACATTACAGCACAGTCATTTCTCATGTAATATACTCTTCCCTCTTACAATATTGCATTTAATGTGTAATTTAATACTCATGTCATCTGTCTGTGCCTGTAATTTACAATATAAGACAACCATGACTGAGCTTATTAGTAATCTCTTCTTCTGGCATGTTATAGTGAATAGATTATGACATACCCAGAGGTCGCTTAATATTTTTAAAAAGTTTACATTAAAAATATCAGCCAAAAATTCAATATCAACGTATCACTACAGTATGTTTCACCTTTGCTAACAATTGAAACTAATGAGGAGTGTCATAGAGTCTTTCCCTTCACATGGCCTAAGAGCATTCCAGATGCATGTCATAACAACAAAACATACCTGTTCTTTGTCTGCACTGTGTGCTGTGATTGATATGCATGAGCAAGACGAGTGACAGGTTTTGTTAGGATCAGATCAGTTCAGAAAAGCACATGTTGAATGTCAGTATTATAGGGCCAGAGGCTTTGAACGAGCTTGCAGGAGAACAGCAGCATGAAGTGGAATCTTTTCTCCAATTTGGCCACCGGCAGAATGAGTTTGTGTTACAAGTTTATACTCATGCAGCATTTGAGTGGGTTTAAGCACGTGGGAACTGTAGCATCAGCCATGTGGACCCAACCGACTGCTGCACACTTAAATAATTCTCTACAGAGAGGTCTTAGCCCAGCTTTAATAATTGATTCAGACTTCTTTCTGACTTTAGCATAATTGTATGCTATAAGGCCGTTGTGAAGATTTTAGTCTGACCTTGCTGACCTCAGACTATCATGATAATAGCCATGAAATCAGTGCTACAATCTCAGACTACCACTTTTGCCTGTCAGATTCAACAGCAGAAGATGTTCCTGTGTTCATGAACCTGTTAGCGTGTTTCTGAAATGGACTGGAGGATGTTACACAACAGCGGCTAGATGTGTATTAATATTGTAAGGCCTAATGCATAATGCGTAGCACAGTTCACATGTCTGTGATGTACTGTACTTTAAGTCTTTAAGTGCACTTGTTGTACTTGTTGCTTATGCATATTGAAAAGTGGGACAGTTGTATATATATATATATATATTTGTGATACATTAAACAATAAAAATAAACAATGCTTAATGGTTTTCGGTTAGACTTTAAAAGTATTGAATAATAGATATTCAATAAACAAATGTAAAATAACACTGAACAGTCTTTATTCTGTTGCATGAAATAATTAAACAATAAATCTTCATTAAAGTGACAAACTTTATTATTTCTTGAGCCCAAATGGTTTAAATTCACTTGAAATCTAAAGTCACAGGCATTAAAAAAACTCATCCAAACAAAAGTCTTTCATATTATTAGAGTAAAGGTAAACTTTGCGATTACTACACAAATCGCATGTTCTCTGTGTTTTCTGGTTAATTATAATCCCAGTTTGACATTGCAGATCTGGTGATATATTGTGCAGCCCTAATTTTTGGATATTTTAGCAATATATTTGCATAATATTACGTTACTAAGTAAAGTGGTGAATTGGTTATGTGAACCAGAAAAGAATTGTCATGAACCAGTTTGCAGAAAAAAAGGGTGTAAAAATTAAGTTTTTTTCGGTGCACAGACGAAGAAAATTAGGTATCAGTAATAGATCCTAACTGGTTACTACCTACTGACGTCATTTATCTCATATGGGCTATGTTACAGTAGTTTACTATTGGGAGGGAGCCGATTATGAGTAACTAAAATGCCCCAACTACTTAAAAATGCAGAAGCTCTGCATGTTTCCTCTCCTCTCGGCTGTTAAAGCAAACTTGTGGATCCAGACTCAAGCATGTCTGCAGAGCGAGTTTTCTCCACCACGTCTATCATGGATCAGCTGTGATCGCTGCGTCACTCGGTGAACAGTGCCAGAGCGTTAGAGCCAATCGCAGCCTTTTCTGTTGAGCATGAGACCAATCATATGGTGTAAGAACTCACTCTACAGCGCTTAAAAAGCAAGCTAATAAGCAGGGATAATATTTACGTTTGTTTATTTATTTCTGTGATTGTATTTTTTGAGTTTTGTTTGATACCGTACGTTCAAAAAGTTTTCTTTGAGCAGGTAAAATTAAAGGTACAGTGCAAATATCTGACTTAAATTAAAGGACAAACTTGTATTACAAATACACAGAAAATGTATTTATAAATGATACATTTTAATACAGGAATTCTTGTGCTGTGAAGTAAAATATGAAACTGTGTATGGAAAGCATCGTCAATGCACTGTGATGCATTGAGATATCAAATTGAACGGAATTGATGGCATGATAATCGTAACCTAACCGAACCGAAATGTGAGGCCAGTGTAGGTTCACACCCCTAATAAGCAGATTACCCAGTCTGCCTAGGGCTGTAGACTAAAGGTCAAAACTTTGGAAATAACGTTCAGTTATTTTGTAAAAAATCATCATTTTGCTTTGAAAGATCTCAATGCA